CAGCGCCCAAGGAAGAGTAACATCGCGCCCACCCGTCACAAAGTAGCCATGTGCGCAAATCGAGCATGCTACGAGCAGATACCGCTGAATAAGACGTGTCTAAAATTGTTGTTCGATTTGGAGCACGACCCGGGTGCGTTTCGGTGGACGTTCGCAACCGCGCTTTGAGCGCATAGATACTTGCCAACTGGCGAAGTAAGATGTTTTGAATGCGTATCAAGGTACACTGGCATCCAAGCAGAGTAAGCGCTCACTGAACACAGGTGATCACTAGTCGCATATACGCCAGACGTTACTAGCAGCAGACATGTCTGCATGTGGCAAATCAAAGTGCCAACTGGATGCTCGCCGACGTGTTCCGGCTGGAAGCGAGCACATTGGGACTCGCAGAGATCTCAGGATGAAGCTGCGTGCTAGCCTGCAGTGAAACTGTGAAGCCTGGTGGTCTCATCGTGTCTAGGAGATGGAGGCAATTGCTACCTTGGTAACCATTGTAAGTTATTCCGCCTGGTCCGGGAAACGGATAGCAGGTGATCTGGTGATAGCGAGACGATACGCAACTAGACTGGACAGTCAATCTACAGCTTGTCAAAACGCTTGGAGCGTTGGGCTGAGCACTTTAAATAGCAATTTAATCAATCAGTTATCAGCTTCTCTAGCGGCCAATGATCGCCCTTCACTTGGCGTCGTCCCCATTGGCTCCGCCCTAGCGCGCAGTAAAGTAATGTGAGATCATAACGCTGAAGGTGAAAATAAGGCCGCAAGAGCAGATGGAATTCATCCGGCACTCTACAAGTTCAATGGATCTGCTTTCATGGATGATTTACTAAACTTATTGTTGAATTTGTGTAAGCACGATACTGTCCAACCAGACTGAAGCCGCTCCGTTTCAGTCCCACTTTTCAATGCAGGCTCGCGTTCCGAATGCGGCAACCATATATGTGTCCTTTTAATCGCCATTGCCTTTAAGTTACTTGCCTCTGTCGTACTCCATAGATCGACCGACACCCGCGAAATCTAGATGAGCGAGGCGTAACCCGGGTTTCGTCGAAGTCGAGTTTGCACTGATCACATTTTCACATTACCTCAATTGTTGGAGCACCGCTATGATTTTTGGCGATTCACCGTAGGCGTATTCCTAGACGGTAAAATAGAATTCGATGCGATGGATCGATGTGCCCATTAGCGCTGTCTACTTGGGGCAGGTGTGCACGAGAAATAAGTAAAGATCGTGAGAGAGCTTTAAACGCATGGTTCGGGAAGAATGAGGGCTTTCGGCAACCTGTGGCTGCTCCCCAATATATTCAGCAGTGTAAGAAAGGGATGCCAGCTGTCACCTTTCTTCTTGAACCGCCATTGAGGAAGCCATGGAAACAATGTTTGCTGAGCACGATATAAAACGAGTGGAGCTGCTCTGAGGTGAAAGACTTCTTGACTAGGAGTGTGCCGATGACAGTGCGCACATTTGGAACAGCTCCCAAAGGTGTCAAGCTGCAGGGACAAATTAGCGATGGTTGTCAGTCGTTACGGTCTATGCTTTGAACCATCGAAATGCAATTCCATCTCCAAGATTGGCAGGGATCCATCTGAGGTGCAGACCCTTGTGGTAAACAACTAGCAGTCGTCCAGAAATTCAAGTATATTGGCAGCTATATCAGCGCCAGTGGAACACAGGATAAGACAACGAACCGCAAACGCTCGAGGCTCTCTTGCCAATCTCCGCCACTTGTGGCGCAGGCGTGATATCACTCTCGTCCTGCACCACAGAGTTTACCATGGAGCCATCCGTTAAACTCTGCAACACTGTTCCGAAACCCACCCCATCAAGTGGACAGACTAAAATAGACTGCATATGTTCAAAAGTCGCCGCATTCGCAGCCTAGCTCATGTCTGTTGGGAACACCGCGTGAGCAATGAGCGTGTTCGGCGTCGCGTATTTAGTGCAGGAAGATTGAGGGAACCGCTCATCCCCGTTATATCCCGCATGTGGCTGGGCCACGTGTTGCGCATGTCAGCACACCGACTGCCGCATCGTGCATTGTTTGCGCGCCCTAGGTATGGATGGCAGGAGAGGAGGCCAAGCGATAACTTGGTGAAGAGGAATGAAAACCCTCAATTCGAACTTGGCGTCGGTTGGTCCCTCTTAACTTCCGGGCTGGGGTCCGAAAGACGATGAGCACGTCTGGTTGGATACACTTGTCGCGTTTGTGTTGTCTCTTTAGCCCTCCCCTTTAGCTTCCCCGTCCAACAACGATCTCAAACCCCATGCACAATATGATATTTAGCCCTATATTACCTTTTTAGCTTTTTAGTCTTTAGTGTCCAATGTCTCCTGTTGAGGCACAATAGTTGAGGTTTGTTTCTAACAATCAGCTAACTTGTGTTGACGACGACGTTGTTGTTGATGGGGATAACGACAATGATGAAGATCGCAGAGCTCTCAACACCGAGCTTATCAGGAAGATCGCGGAGTCTGGTGGAAGCAGCGCGTCATCGAAATGGAAGAAGCTGCTTTCTCAGGGATCTTCCGCAGAATTTTTTCTCTTATCCGGTCCATTAACTGTAAGTGAAGTACCGTGTGAAACCAGCGTTAAGCTAATGCCCAATCACAAACGTCGTCTTATATGTTGGACGGAGCACATCGAACAGAAGTTTCACTGGCCACCGGTGCCCTCGAAATTTTATTCATGTATTCACTGTGTCCCATGGTGTGTAAGCATCTCTCCGTCATACGAAGTAGAGGTGTGCTAAAAGTTTCGTCATCTGAAGAGTTACAAATTTCCTGGTCCCGAGAAATCACCTCCCACTATTCTCAAAGATGAGGCCAAATTTACCTTTGCCATCCTTCCAGAGATTCGGGCTGCAGAAATCATCCCGTCGAACTGGAGCTCAGCGGACATAATGACCTCCTTCAAGAAATGTGACCGAACGGATTGCATCTACTACCGAGGGATCAGCATCCTATGCATTGCGTCCAAGTGGCTCGATTCCTTGATTTTGCGTACGCACAATGTGGTACGCGAAGAGCAGGCTGAGCTTCACCCAAATCTGGGTTGTATTCGCTACATCTCTACGATTCGCCAGATATGGGAGTGGGTGGCCATCGCGGTTGTTCATCCACCCTCCGTTAGGTACACAATTCCGGTTAAAAAGTGTGTGGTCACTGACCCTACAGTCGGTCACAATGACTTAGCCACAGTGTTGTACGATCTCTTTTGGTATTTAATGGATGACCAATCTCGAACTCCCCACGCTTTGAGACGCTGCGTTGACTGTCCGCGACTGCTTAGTGATCTCATCTGCGAATCAAACTAGACACATTCACACTTGCTTTCACTAGGAGAGAATTACTTGATCCGCAACTTGAGGAAGCGCGCAACAACATACAACGAGCCCTATGTAGACATCCCATTCTGAGCTACGTCTTGCATCGCTACTCCTTCAGCCCTAGTACACCATGGTATCACCGCTGCATTAGTATACGATTACCTGTAGTGTCACTTGTATCCTTGAATGTTGTGGCTCTCACCCTGCCAGTTCACGGCGCTTCTCAAGCATTCACTTCATTGCTCCTTACTAGAGCGTTATTCAGTGTACCTGTCGCCCACTGCTTTAAAACACATTGCGTGCTAGCCGTGGAACAAGCACTAAGACCAGCCAGACTAGTAGCTACGTAACAACCTTAGTGCAATCGCGTGGAGCCAAAAAGTTTCATGCGCTGCGGTTAGGGCACCAGTGAAGGTGTCTATGCCCACCGGTGCACATGCGATGTAACGATGTGGCCAGAGTAAACCGTGAAGCCCCCCCCCCGCGCTTCAATGCGTCACTCGTATTGTGCCTGTTGCCCCACGCACGCCATATGTCCACAGCACGCAATAGCTCGTACAGACAAGCACCTGAGAGGTTAGCGTAAGAACATCGACAGTCAGCCGTGTCAAAGTACAAGTAGCCAGTAACCGTTTTCGATAACAGGCTCTGTTATATCGGCGTTGTAGATCACGCCAAAATTCTTTGTCATATTTTGACCTAGTTTCACCTTAATCGGCCGTGGTGACCTCAGACATCTTATTATATCCATCCCCTATTTCAGCACCTATGTGACAAGCTGCATACGAGGTTGAAGTGCTCCTCCATGTATGCGACCACGTCGCAATGTGTGGAGTCGGTTGGCCAACGAAACAGCCGCACACCGGTGAGTGCATGCTACCGTCGACCGAAATAAGTTTAATTCATGGACAGACCAACGTGTTAGGAGTTCGGTGTCGGAACAGGACAAATCGTTACTTGTATGGACTTTATACAGAAATGTTATGTCCAGCTAACCTTTGCGATTACGGTTAGCAATTCATTGTTTGTTTTAGCAGTAGGTGCTGCATGCTTGAATTATGCTGCGGTGTCTAATGGAATCAGGTAGTGGCATTAACCAAATGCGCAGAAGGTTCACTGCTGAGAATGCATCTAGTGTGATCACGTTTGGTGTGACGGGTTTTGTCGGTGCCTTTTCCGTGGCTTATCGGTTACTACAGGGTACCAAGTCAGCCACGGGGAAAAATCTAAACGACAATGAATGGGAATTCGCACGAGGCGAAGCGCTGATCTACGAAAGAGTTGACAACGCAGCATAATATTAGAGGAGTGCGTCTCGAACAATTGTAATTTTTGACAAAAACGGTACAAAAGTTACATGGGTTGGTCTACTGATCTGGTTGTGCGCGATGCAGACATGTATAAGTAGGACCAATTAAAAACCAAATGACTAGTTATCGGAATACCTACATCTGAGATATATGAAAAGGTGTGACTAAGCGAACCAAACACATGACCTTCACCGTGACATATTGTGGCACCTAAGTGTTGGCTACCTTGATTACAACAGGCTCAAAACAATGAGTTTAATTCCGCTTCAGAGGATCAAAGAGCGAGTGTGGGGGCACTGAGTACGAACGCTTGGGCTGTCGCCTTGAAATGCAAACACACAGCGACACGCCGATGAGTCTTACCTTCGAACTGAATTCGATTCGCAAAACACGCAACGGCTGTTCGGTGATATATCCTCGGCGTCCCGGAGCACGAAAGGTAGTTGGTCCGCAGAATAGGAGCAGCTGTCAACGTTCAGGCACTGGTTGATAATGGCCAGTCGAGTGGCGGAAATCACCAGTACCTCTGCTGAATGTGGACTTACAGGCAAGACGATGGAAGGTTCTGAGAATATGACGTCCAGCCAAATTTGAGGAGTTCGGTGAGCGATGCTAGAGACCTGTGACGAACAGATGTAAAATACAAAAGGTGGAACAATGGACACTACATGGAAAGAATAAATATAAATGCTAAGAGAAATTTTGGAATTAAAGAGAGAAGTTGTTAGCAGCGCAGGCGGAAATTAATAATAAAACAAAGAACCTGAAAGACGCATGCGTTTACCGCAGACATGCATTTGTGCTTAGTTTAGGAAAGATGAACCTGATTGAGCGTTACCGATGAGCCTGACGAGTACTAGGTGAATAATTGGTAATCGCATATAAATTAAGATGATATACAGAGGCAATGATAAAAAGGATTCAGACCAACTACTGTGTGGTTCGCCTAATGAGTATTCTGAGGCGGATAGGTAGGGAAAGATGAAAGTGGCACCACTAGATTGGAGGTTCGTTTATCGCCACAATAGAATCGGATACCAGACAAGCAATGAGGGAGTGTTTTCGCAGGAAATGATAGGCATACTTCCAACGACTGACTTATGGAGCGGACCCACTCATTGCTAAGCGATAGGGTCAGGTCAATGAGGATGGCAATAGTTGAGCATAGTTTCGCGTCAGTCGTGTTGTACCTGGTTTGCGATAAGCCTTTGGAGGATACATACGGATAGACGAGCAATCGTGTGGAGCATAGGTTGCTGTTAAGTTCCACTAAACTCAACGTGAGGCTGAAGACGGCAGAATAAAGTTGGGAGGCATTACTGACAAGTGACCAACGACGGTATTCTACACCGTGAAAGAATGAGGTGGCTTAAATCAGCTCAACTCAAAAGTGACGATGGCAACTTGAATTAGGTGCAGAAGTTGATGCTATTCGTATAATGAAGAAGAAGCAAACGAGATGTAAGCATGCTTTTGGGCGAGTTGGACGTGTGAATAACATACGCCGTTAGCAGCAAAGTGGATGAGGTGCATGGGATCTGCGTTTGACCGATAAATAAAACTGTCCTCATCTAACTGACACATTTGTCATACGCGAGCAACCTACGTAGACATGTCTCGAATATTCGGGAAACCGGTTAAATGGTTGAGTTGCAGTAGGCAACGTCCTCAAAAGGCAAATAAAAAGAATTGGTCGCAAACGATTGCCAAATAAAGATAGTACCCGCATCAGTGCAGTGGTCAGTTCGGATTGAGGTGTCAAAAAATACTCGGGTTACATCAAGCTAGCATACAAGTAGCTGCATGGTAGGCAACGTTGTTTGCGATGAAGTGAGCAAACAAAACCCAAGTTTTAACCCATTGATATGTCTTTTGAAGATAAGGTGAGAAAATCAGTCCTGTGTCATTAAATGGTGATACTCGTAAACGTTTGACCCAACTAATCAAAGCCAGAGTTGGATGTGGGGCAAGGGAGCATAGGTGTGAATAACATCAGACAACATTATGCTGGCTCATGAAGAGTGAATACACTTGTGTGTGGACGTATAAATAACGTAGTTTATGCGTCTCTGTTCACTAACGCTCCATCACTTAGAAAAACAATGTCCAAATGGATCAATTAGTTTCGCCGTTCTTGACACACTCAGCACGGGTGTTGAGAAGGCAAGGCTGCTACTGACACCAGTCAGTGAGATCGGCGATTTGACCCCAGCGATTTAATTTGGGGAGGCCCTTGCCATAACATTCCGGTAGGTCTGTTAAGAACCCAGCACAGTGCAGCCAGGTCGTTTATTAGGATAGCGCGAGTCCGATCGGTACAGGCTACAGAACAAAATACAGACGTCGCGAATCGCGTGCCTCGTCAGTTCAGCTTCTCCATCCGGCCGCGCGTCTTCATCCAACGCGTACCAATGTAAGTTGGGGGTGCACTCTGCATTTGAGGTGATCCAGGAGCTCATCACGTATGGCCATTCCACTCAATAGTAGTGCACTTCAGGTAATTGTGATGTTGCTTATCCGATTGGGAATTGATTGGTGAACTCCCGCACGTATGCGCAGACATATTAAAGATTATAAAAGCTAAATTGTTTTATGCCTCATAACGCGCAATACGACTGTGGTAAAGTGTTAGGAATGAACACGCTAAGCGAAACACGGGGCTCCCATCACCGTTACGGAGACCAAGACGTGGCAGGCGATCCAAACTCACCCGCACTGATTGGGGCGAACAGATAGCCCACCGAGTGAAGCGGTCAAATAACAAGAGCGTGGCATTCCTTGATTGGCCGGAAGTTGACGCTTCCAGAGTTTTCCACGTGAGTTTGAGATACCATTCACGAACTTTCGATTGTAACTTTATAATGAACGTTGTGGTTGGCTAACACATCCCTGTTCCTCTGCTCGTCCCATCCGATCTTCTCTCTGCCCTGTGGGGGGCCAAGCGACCTCGAGTTTCGATTGAGAATCAACCGTAAATCCAGGCGAGGTACGAACACTTCAGAAAAAATTGGTGATGGGGTAGGTTTATTTCTACTTGCGAGCACGCTCAGGCAACAAGTCGGTTAGCACTCGGCCGATGGACGAATGGTTGCAACCTAAAAGTCATCTGCTAGAGCCTGCATAGCTGCAGCTAACTTCGCGGCATCGCTATCCCGTACGTGACTGCAAGCGGTAAGGTGGCATCGAAGCGTAGGAACGACGTATGGAAGCCCTGTAGCTCGACGGCACCTGTTTGCTAGTCGTGAATGTTAAACGCACATTAATGACAAGGGAATAAGGAAGTACCGGGTCATCAGGTCACATGCTTGGAGAAGTCAGTCTATCGGTAAAAGGTGTTGGTGGTAAAGCAATACAAAGTAGAAGAAAGAATACTTACAATGGGATCATGAGGGTTATATTTATCTGATAGGAGTAGTGGCTATCGAAAAACATATGGTCAGAGTAGACCCTAGCAAAGGAGGATGGGAAGGTGGATCTTGTCCAACTGGGTTGAAGGATGGGGCTAACAAAATTACACAAAATTGAACAGCACAAAAAGTGTATGGGTGCTAACTTATTAAATCCAAGTAACAGACATTTACGGAGCAAATGGGAAAGTTAACGCGTATACAGTGAAACAATGAACGAAGTAGTTTAGTTATGTAATTAAGAAAGAGGAAGGTGGGGGAGTTGGGCTAATCACTGTAGTGTGATAGGTCAGTCATTATTAGGACAGTGGTGTAAAAACGTTACAAAACAAATCCCGTTCACCTAACTGTACACATTGCTCGAAACATGGGCACGTAGCGGGCATGACGAGAAGCGAAGAGACGAGCACTGGAAACTCACCTTAGGACAAAGGCTAGAGTCCCGAATGTGAAAAAGAAAATTTTTTTGAAGTAAGAACGAATTCAGGCTGTCCAGTATACAGAGTGCGAAGGGATGAGTGTGCACGTATTGTAGGGGAGCCATACGAGCATAAAAATATGTGTCCTGAATGGTACGTGATACACCATCGACCGCTGCCGAACAGACAAGACAAAGAGTGAACGAACGTGCGAAGTGATGTGTGTTTTTCACTTCCGATCCGTCAACGGGACGCTTAGAACATAGGCGCACAGCATATAGAGTGGATTCTTGAGGCAGGAGCGCACGAATCTATACAAAAAAGAGAAAAACAGTGACGAACCGGTCGTTAAATCGGACGAAATCAATGGGCATTTAGTTAAATCCTCCAAGTGCAACTTACAGACAGATCGCCCATCTCACATGACAGCACGCTGCATGGGCCGAGCAGACCTTCGGGAGTTAATTGTCTGTGCTCAGGTAAGTGCAGGTCGAATCGGTCCACACAGTCGAGGTAGCGCAGGTGTACCGGCTGCAGTACACACTCAACAATATCAGCTGACTCGTCTTGGTTAGCATTGAGAATAAAGCGGGCATTGCCAATGTAAGCTGAATGCATAGAGTACGAGCAGATGCTAGCAGTTTTAGCTGGGGAGGATGAAAAAAGGAATGGGGGGAGTGAATAGGGGCAAAGGGCCCGGAGAAGGTAAAAGAGTGAACAAAAACCTACCGGAGGAACGCGATTTAAAACCTCTTTCATGGAAGCACACGTGGTTGAAGGCGACTTACTATCGGTTGGAGATGAGTGAGACACGGTGGAAAAAAACGACCGCAAGAAGTCCAAAATCAGGACCCATGGCTGTGGACACAAGCGGAACGACAGTTGAGTACAGTCCAAATGGCTGAAATATTTTGCCTGCAAGAGAGTAAATGGAAGAATAGACGATGAGGTAAAGTGTTGAAGTGAAGGGCAAAATAGATGGCATCTAAAAGTACTGCCCAATGGCGATGGTCAGGATAAGCGGACAATTCGTGAGTGGAAAGAAGTATTTAGTGGACAGTCGAGAAGTTGGAAGGCACTGGCGGGAGTGCCATTCAAAAGTAAGGCACCTGGCAGCATGCAAAAGAATCCAATGAGATAGACGGAAATTCAGTGTTAGCCGTCCGAAAACAGTGAACTCTATGACGCGATTTAAGACTATCTGATCTCAATAGATAGAGACGGCAGGCATCGAACCTGAGACCATTTGAATATTAGCTGAAATCTCTACCCCTTTGGCTACTGGGTCATGAGAGACAACGCTTAGCACAATGACTCGGAGGTCATTTGAAGACTTTCGCCCAATTTCCGTAACCTCAGTCTTCACTCGTCTTCTTCATCGAAATTTGTTCGTTCGCTGGATGCTTGCATTCCCAGCTAATCGTCTTCAATTTGGTTTTCTTCGTAATGATGGTCGCGTTTAAGCCCCACGATACTACACTCTGCACTAGGATATTCACACTTGAACGGTATCCCTTTATCCACTGCTTCTCTAGACATTTCAAAAACCTCTGATTCCATCTCCCACACTTCGCTGCTTCGCGTAGCATCCTGTTTCGGTGCCCACTCTTTTCTTCTACATTACCTAAAGTCTTATTACTCCTCCGGAATTTCAATCATCAACGGTCTGAGGATTCACCCAGGGCGTGGAGTCCGTCAGGGAGATCCACTTTCTCCCTTGCTCTTCATCATGGCACTTGAGGAAGCATTGCACACACAGTCTGAAACAGAGTGGATTTCCCCAGCAGGTCCAATCGATCAGGTCGCTTACGCAGATGGTGGTGTACGATTTGCTTATAATCATGAATCCCTGATCGAACGCCTAGAATGATTTCGGCAAGATATACAACATCTTGGATTATCCATACACCACATGAAATCGATGGTGTTGGATATCACCGTCGACAGCAAAAGAAAAAAATTGTCTGTTTTGAACACTGCGCCGCTCCCCATGTGGGGGCCCTCCAGATCCCCTCGATATAGCCATTCGCGGAATTCCGGCTATTTGGATTACCATTTGATTGGAAGGGTAAACGCCCTTGGAACTCGCTAGACCAACTCAAAGTACAGCTGCCGGAAACAGCTCAAGCCTCCCCTAAACCCTACCAGCGCATGGATATCTTGCACAGCTATCTTTTATCGCGTCATACACATTGCCTCTCATTGGCGGTGGTGTACCGGCAGACCCTCAAATCGACGGATATGCTGGTCCGGGCAAATAAACAAAAATGGCTACAACTCCCAAGGACACCAGCGTCGCATTCTTTCACGCTTCAATTGAGGATTATGGCCTTGAGTTTCGTGGGTTTTTAGTATGATCCCATTGCTTCGGAAGGATCGCCTGGAACACCATCTTTCATTCTCTCACCCAGCTGGGCGGTACGGAAACCTTCAGCGATTACCATCCAGCGCCTCACCATGAAGCCCGTAATCATTGGGAATCAAGTCGTCTTGGACAAACGTGACGCGAAGGAAGCAGGGAAGAATTCACTGCTGCAATTTATAGACGGACCATTGCTTCGGGGGACATTTAGGACACCAGCGTCTCATAACTGTATAAGAAACCCAGGGCGAATTTTTCCCAGACTCTACATCAGAGGAACCCAACTTCGAGCAGGGGTGCTGTCGACAAAATCTCGATGCTCCAATAGATTACCACCGTCAAACCCAACAGATCTTCACAGCCGGGGCGCTTGTGGACAAAATGAAACACTTTCAACGTTTTGCAGTCCTGTGCAATAAGCCATGATGCTCGCTGTAAGAGGCACAACGATATCGTGAAGCAACTAACCAACACGCTTCGTCGTAAAGGCGCGCAAATCATCCCGGAGCCCGACCTCCCAGCGGCACCAACATACAACAAGCTGTATCTAATCGTAATCAAGAACTCCACAACACACATAATGGACGTGGCAATATGCGGCACCTACAGAATGTCCCGTAGTTATCAAGGAAAAATTGACTAATACGATTTAGGTGCTCATGTAGAAGCCATAACCCGCTTTGTGCGCTCGGAATTTCCTATGGCATTAAATATCATGCATCATCCGATAATCACCAACAACCGAGGTCATATAATCCCAGCCTCCGCCAAGCACGTTTCGTCTCTGGGGCTCACCAAACTTGACACATCGGATTTGTGTGTGTCTACCAGGAGTGGATGTCTTCAAGTTTACGACTCCTACATGCGGGGTGCAATGTCACAAAACACATCACACTAATACCGTACAATCGCACGTTCGCAAGCGATTCCGACTAGTTTGCATTTTAAATGATTACTGTTTCACTATTACGCCAGGACGTTTGTCCAATCTCGGTGAATTTATGTACTGAGCAGGCCTTGGGCCATGCATGAATTTGCCGAAAATATATGCTCATAGAACGCGGTTCACAGTGAAGTGAACCTTGGTCAAAGTTGTGTGCAAAAGGAGCGGAGTTAAATGAGGATCAACCGTAGCTATGAAAGCCACCAGAATGAGTAGTCGGACAAGGCGCCAATTGCTGGCAAAATATTCATCTATTCTACCAGGTCATCTAACCACCTTCAACAATAAGCAGCAAAGTAGACCCCCATACAGTGCAGCAAAACAAGCAGTCAAAACAGCAAGGTGTAACACGAAGTGTTAAGTGATCGCAACGGATGATGAACACTGGGACACGGGTATTCTGTGGCCTACTACTGTCGATGCATGATGATCCGTTGATTGGTACCCCAGTTAGATTTTGGTTGTAAAAGTGATTTAACCGTGTAGTAGTTAAGTTACTACCTTCAGTGACAGCGTGATTTGTCAATTTGACCGTTGGAATTAAACAATCTAATCAGGCCAATTAGGCACATCCAGCAAGTAATTGTCACCATGTAAAAGTCCGAGTCCGAAGGGATTTACCGAAAGGAATTGTTTAGTCAGTACTTGCTTCACTTTGTTTCATTCTAATAAATGAGAAATTGCGGATTGCTGAAGATTAGCACGCCCGTGATTCAATCTAGCAAAATTCCCTGTTTTTGACTCATTACATCAGGAGTGAGCTGGTAAGCTGAAGACTCGAGGTTGTGACCGATAAGCCAACTCTATACTTTAGCTCGTGTAACCTGGTAGTTTGACGCCCTCTGACAAAACCCTGAACTTCGCAACTACTACGGGGTACCCCAATGACCATGTACGCCCATCACAGGCCAAAATATCTTAGTTAATGATTATCGTTGGTTCGAGTCCACTGATGCTAGTCTCGCTGATGTCCGACCGGTGGCTCTCTCATTCGATCCAAACGTGCATTCCATTTGGTAGTCGTTAAGGTATGAACTCGCATGCAGATTGGGTAACAGGCCGCGTTGATGTGTGCGCCGGAGTCCCTCGTTATTGACGCCTGCTATAATGAAGTACACCGTAGCCTTATCCCGCGAAGTAAGCAAAGCACGTTGACGACCGCGGAACTTGGTGGTTTTAGCGCTCTTCAGGTATGAGAACAGCTCCTGTGCTAAAAACTTGCGCAGGCTCTTTCGGATCGATCGGATCACTAGGTACGGAGGAGTTGGCGTTAGCGCGGTCAGTAGCGAGGTTGATGAATCACTAAGCACCAGTTTGCGTAGGGGCGTAGACCGCTGGACCGAGCACTCACTGTTTAGCTGACGTTATCCATCTGCCTGCCAAGCAAGAACAGCAAGTTGTGCGCCTTAGAACCTTGCACTAAAACCACTCAACGCAGTGGAATCTGTCTTTAGCCCCGACAATTGGAACGATTCAACGCTGTCCATTCAAGCGGATTACCTTCGGAGTGTGAAAATAAAGTAAGGCGTATCGGTGTCACGGAAAAAAGTAACCACTAAAATAGATAGCAGATTAGTATGGTGGAAAGGTGAGTGGGGATGGAGGTGTCGGCCCGTAGCCTAGAGGTAACGAGCTTGTCTCATAATCTTGCGGCGCGGATTCGAATCCGCGTAGGGGTGGGCGTCCTGGCGGTATACTCAGTCCGCGTACGACTGCTGGTGGTCGTACGGCAGCGAAGCGCCGTTACGGCATACAGCTGACACATTATTATTATTATTGTCACATAATGAAAGCAGACTGAGCATTAGAAAATACAGATACAACGGTAGCTGGACTGAGTGTGGTGAGTGGGCATAAGCAGTTAGAGAGCGAATTGCAAAGTGGATCGGAACAAATATGTTTTGGGGAGTAAATTAACGGAAAAGCGAATTTCATGAATCATAAAATGGCTTTCTAACGTAGAAAGAAAGGGTCAGAAGCAAATCATGTAATTGTCAAGAGGGACTAGGCTGATCAGTGCTTAGTCGAAAACAATGGAATCGGGTGCATGTAGGTCATCTCACCGTCAATAGAATGCAATGAATATGGTCCACAAACGATCGTCAGCATCGATAACAGATATAGGTGGAATAATTCGGGCGAGCATTGTATAGTGCATGTACACACGCAATCAAAACAGTTACCAAAACCATTTCGGAAATGGTACATAGTCACTTTGCTAATGTAACACACTGAATAACAATGCTACTACAGAATTCGAATAGCACACTTAGAGTTGAGACGGAGTGAAAGCCCCTAGTTTGACACGTCCATCGAGCCAAGGTAGACATATACAGAGGTCACGATGGGCAGTGGTGAAATGGTTTGCATTTGAAAACTACATGCTGACGATGATGATGATGTGAATAAGGAAGCAACAAGTGAAAGGTATGGTGCCTAATCTGTACTATCTCGTTCGTCGCGTTTCAGTTTGCTGTCGCCAACTGGCACACGCGAAAATATCAAGTCAAAAGTAAAACTGTCACTGGAAAACATGTCTCACGCTGTGAACAGGAGCATAATAGACAAAGAACGACAACTGACAAACCTTTACGAACTGCTCAGTGCTTTCAGGGAGTACCTCAGATGGGGTATAAGAAAGAAGTTCTAATCCGGTGGCCACTTGACTTGGAGTTTTGCAGTACGGCTGATCCTCAGGATAGTTTTGGGTGCTACGATGATTTAATATCTGTAACAAGAAGCGCGAATTTTAACATCGGGTAGTGACAAAATAAGCAGCACGTGCATGACAGTGTGCAAAAATACCCTAAACCGGTTAAAAGATGGCTCTTGTGGCTCAGTACAGGCCACTACAAAAGACGCAGTTGACGGACCGATAAAGAACAACAAGTGCGTAAAAGTCATCCGCAAGCAGTAAAAAGGAGCGCATTGTAAGTGACCGATGGAACACGGCAAAAATAATGAAGAGTCGATTACAACATCGAGATGTTCGTTAACATTTGGATTAACAGTGCGCGCAGTTTGCCCGAAGTATTCGGACCGAATCACAGTTGCAAAGTCAGCAAAGGCAAAAAGCAGAACCCTACGAGGGTAGAAAGCAGACCAAACCCGAGGATACGAAGAACAACGTGCAGGAAAGTGAGCTAAAGAAGCCTGTGCTAAACGCACACACACAAACGATGCATGTTGTGATGATGTAGGCATCCATTTGTATACGGGTGGAAAAACGCATCGGCTCAGGAAAGCGCCATGAGGAAACGGCAAGGCAATAGGACAGTGAGCCTGAAATTGCTATTATAACCATGCGTAAAGTTACCTACAGACAAAACAGGGGGTACACAAATGCCTGGGACACATGTCAGAAACGTGCATGATGCCCAAGTGGAGATTTTAATGTGCTGCAGGCAGATGCCCGAATCGTTAGGGCAACAAGATTGAAGCTCGACAAGTAGGGGTGTACGGGTTGGGAGTGGAATGAGGATCTCTCCTGGAACCTGGCAGAAATATTGCAACAGTTGTGGTACCAAGAAGATGCCACAGACATCAACCTTATTGAGCACGAATGTCGTGGGAAAGCGGAGAGAATTGTACAACTAGGTGAGAGGTGAGATTAGGGACACGATAGAGGGTGAATGGCTACAGGCGGAATGGTGATGGAAGTCAGGGTCTTCGATCGTGGCAAGGACACGACCTCGCTGATATGCACGAGTAGCAGTAAACTGTGAAGTGGACGGCACTGATGATGATGATGAGTACAAACCCGATGATAGTCGAATGATTCCCAACAACAAAACCATATTTTGTCGAGCATAGTGCAGTAAAGATCCAATGTGGACTAGTGTTGCTAAAGTGGAACAAAGTACCTGGGGTCCAGACAACCTCCCACTATCGTTGCTTAGGGACAGTGATAAACCACTGGCAACTCTACCTAGGCTTCATTTTTCGATACTATTTGGTGCAAGGAGGAAGAGATCACCGACTAGAGATTGACGATCACCGCGTACACTTTAAAGAGGGTAAAATATGTTCTGTGAAAACCATTGTCATAGCAATCTGATCACAATAGCCTCCAAACTAAGAACTTGCATCATACCGTGGCGACTCATTGAACATTTGGATAAACGAATCAGTGAATGGCAAACCGGCTTCCACCTCGATAAACAGTGCATCGACCAAGTTTGGCCCTTTAGGCGATTGACGGTTACCATGCTTACGACCAGACTACCGCTGTAGTCTTTCTTGCTTTGAACGCTGCCATTGATTCCGTCGAGTGTAACTGTTTGTGACGGCGCTACATATTGAAGGGTGTACCTGAGAAAATCATCACTATGCTGAAATCGCAATAACACGACTCCCGTGACAGCGTAAGGGTCTACAAGAAACATCTCTTTATGTTCACTGCGACAAGTGGAGTGCGTAAGGGCTGTCCCGTTTTTATATTTATATTCAGGTTTGTGATTGAAATTATCGTGAACGACTTCTGCCCCCTACAACTTTTCCTGGGGTTGATGTTTTGTTGAGCCGTTGAATGTCAAACTCAGAATGGGCGCACAACATACTCCTCTTTGAGTTGAAACCAGATGCTGCGCAACTGCCACTGAACAAGCTGATGTAAAGCGCTGCAGACTTTTGCATGTTCTTTGCATATTCAACGTGTAATGTTGTTGAGGCGCTGACCCACTCTGCACCCATTCTCCATCAATGATCATTTGCACAAACCTATCGATCCGATTACCTACAGTACACATCGGTAGAATAAATGCAGTTTTCAAAGCTTCGGTAATTCGCAGAGACAACGAGGTGATGGTATTGGTTAAGGGTAGAGTTTACAACGCCGCAGTGCAGCCAGTGTTATTGTGCGGACTAGAGACCTGACCGCCACGCGTGCTTTGTCCACCGCTGATTGCTTATATCTGGGGGAGGGAGGGGGGACAACTGAATAAGCAATACGGAAATTCCTTATGTGGTTTTTCTCAAAAGACCATCCGAGCTAATTTGAATCACTTTCGTGTTCCCTATGCCTACTAGCCAGCTGCCGCGGCATGAGATGATTCCCAATGCAGCGTCTAGCTGGGAGAAACACCGAGGTGCTCAATTAAAAGCGTGGCGAAATAGCATGGAGAAACTTATCGAAAGGCTGAGTGAGGTTTGTGATTGTCAGTTTTCCGGATGGGGTCCTCGATAAAGTCAAATCAGTGGTTGGCCACCTTACGGGTATGCTGCAGCTAAGAGGTTAATGATGCTCCTGTATTCGTCTCACACTCTGGAATTTTGACTATTCCATCTGAATTAAGTTGTTTATTCCTTATTTGAAGTTGTAGCGAGATATTGCACAATTGGAAAATTCATCTGAAACATGCTATCGGTTGGCAGTTGGATCGTACTTTACCGATCATTCAACTGACCTCTCATCGTGAGTGCTTGTGCACCGAACCATGTCCTCAAAAGACCCGGTTAATGGTATCACTCTCATACGCCCTCAAATGTACTTACCTTGTTAATTAACAAATTCTTTGTACCCTCACACTCTTGTCCGGTGGTTCAACTTCATTCCCTACTTAACGATAGTTGCCCTTAATTGATTTTGCTCCATGCACTATGCACGATGTCATTTCAGTGACATTGTAACATAGCTACCGCTTTCTTTGCGTGATGCTCGAGTCGTCAAATTTGACACCATGTTTACTTGTGTGTGCTTTCTGTAAACCGCTCACTCTGTGATTGGGTCGTTGATAATTGGCCAGTGACCTCTATCGTGTGGGCACTTGTCCTCTAGCTGTCTGGCGTGAACAGCGCTTTCCATCCTGTCGTGTGATTTAACTTGTTGCTAACGGTGATACACCGGGATCCTGAACAATTGAGTTATGTCTGATTACTTAACTGTACGTAATGTAATAGTACCGCAGTTTTTACGATCCGTTCTGTTTTTGGATCATTGGTTACGCGTTATTCAACGTTCGACCGGTGAAGGTTACATAAGTATTATTGTTAACATTCAACCCACATGTTTCAAGGCAACTTGGTGTATCGCACCACGGTGCACAGATCGCAGTTGGTGAACTGAACCGAAGTAATTACCGCGAAGCTGTCTAGTACCATATGAATCAAAACAAGGGGTTGACGAGAATAATACGTGGGATACCCAACTGCAATCAACGATTCGCGGTAGGGACTAAGAGGTGCCGATAGATCCTGCAATGGCAAAATCAAAGCGCATCAAATCGACCACATCAGGAGTGGAGGCTCGTGCCAGTCATCTAGATAGGGAAACGTGCAGTCAATCAAGCTTTTCAAATGCTTGAGGGCCAGAGAATCCCAGGATGCAACAAAATGAACGTAGTGAACGGGATAACAAATTATTGCAGAAGTTAAAGCACACATGACATGGCAGTCGTCTGTGGTGAAAGTCGCGGTAGATTTGAGCATGTCAAAACATTCACGTTTCTAGCACCGCAAGGAAAATTGAAATAAGTTTAGTTCCAGAGAAACTGAAATCACAATGAGGGGGTGTACAGCCTTTTAAACAAACAACAGATGACTCAATCAGTGGTGAAATAGACTTTAGCTGCATTCACGGCCGGTACTTGTTTAGCCTAGTAGTGCAATGATCACGAAAGCAGACAGTAAGCTCTAAGTCTCAGGGTTCGAATCTCAGTAAGAAGAGCATTGCTTGAAGAGATGGAGGTAAAGAATGGAAAGTTGGTAGAGAGAAATATCGTTGACCTCATCTAGCACTACAGACGGTTTGCGCACCGACTTGGACTTCACGTAAGGTTTCGAAAAGTAGGCTAAAAGCATTTGGATCGGAGAACTCGTCATGTGCCCAGTGTATGCTGGTATCAAAATGTACCGTGATAAAAACTGACGAATGAGGATTGAAGTCCTAATTCAAAAAGGTAAACAAAAGGGAACGGGTAAAGTTAGCGATGAAGATTAAGCAGTTTGGGTGGAAAGAGGAAACGCATGTATTGAAAACAGGGATATCGAATTAGGTAGGCCAATGGTACGAATCCAGTGACCGGCGTTGGGAAAACGCTAGAAGTAACAACACAGCGTAAAAAAGCCACTAACCTCATGTGCTGACTGGGACCGAGACAAACAGCGTTGCTTGTGTCGCGCAGACTTGTAATCCCTTGCTGCCCGACCTCGGTTAGTGATGCCCTCGTCGTCACTCATCGGTGCTGATTTCAGACTGGAAAGAGAGCAGAAAACAGGGTTGAGAGTGCGAGGAGGGGTTGCATACTGTGACGAATCAGCTGACGTGATAGACAGAAGCACCGCCTGTGATATGGGCCTTTTATCCTCGTGGTCGTGTTCTGGTGGAAGCAAATTGACCAAACAGACAGAGCCGATGGTTATTCGACCGAACATGCGTGCCATAGAGTCACCAGCAGGATCACGAGTACCACTAAAATGGACGGATTGCATTTCAAGGCGCGCAAGAGAAACTGGACAGATGTCCACATCAGCCATGATATCCACATGTAGTGAGTGTAGCCACATGCGCCACGAAAGCGGGGGACCAGACGCGGCCACAAACACCGCCTGTTTGGTCTCGTAAGTAACATCGTCGTTGGCCTGAACAGAAAATGCAGGGTTAGAATGATCGATATGGTAGAATGTTAGAATGATCGATACAAAGCCAGCGTGCGAGGATATGGCAATTTGCAAGTAAAACATAAATCGTCTAATCGAGGTAGGAAGTCGATTTTGGTAGATTAACAAGGGGTCTTAGCACCCCACTCATAACTGACTTATCAAATATAAGTAACATCATAGACTTCGCAGTGCATATCAAACGACATAGTACAAGATTTATGGAACAATCACGGCCTGTATAGCGTAAGTAGGAGCCATATTTGAGATACTAAGAGGTGCTAAAGTACATCCGAACACAGTAACGTTTGACAGGGTTAGCGGGAAGGACACGATCAGATTCCGGTGAGTACAACCCGTTATGACAGGCCGAGCATCTCAGTAACCGATTATAGCAATACAGGGAGCTGGAATTTTCACAATATTAAAATACTACGTAACGAACAAAAATGTGATGAATCTAATTCACCCTTCACGCAATCGCTACTTGCGTATCCAACATAACTTTCTTAAGACTACGGCCACCGACAGCGATAATTGAAAAGCATCGCCCACCTACCGCTATATACATGTCGGAGTTGTTGCCAGTAAACAATAACAGCAACCCGATTCCATTGAAATGGCTTCAGGTACTAAACTCTTTGGAAAAAGAGACCGTCAACCCTAAGGAGGGCGAAGTTCACGCTTAACTCCAATTTGAAGTACAGTTGGAATAAAGATAGTTAAACGGCTGAGTCAAACGCGGCACCCGAGCATATCAGAAGCCGGGGGTACAAAACAGAAAAGCAAATGGATATCTTCACATGAAGTATTCACCTACGACGGTTCTTGTCTACGGTTAAGAACAGTTTGAGTTGTGCCCGCAACCAATTCGATCAATTTAACTGATGTTAGTCAACATCATGAAAACGGCAGAGCTTGATGGCAGTACGGTGGTAATGGAAAAGTGCCCAGCGAGTTGTGAAAGGGACAAATACGCCTACTTGCATGCCGAAGCCCGCGCGCAGACTTATGTACAGGATAACAAATCGGTGGTAGTACCATAGCAGCATTGTTGGCACCGTAACTTGGCACATCGTGGCATCGCACAGAAACGACTGCTGGTCGAGGCTCATTAGAGTAATATTAACCGTAGGCATGAGATGAGAAAACTCTGAAACGGGCGTGGTTCGAGAATTGGCTAACTGCAACTGCAGCAGCCATGTGAGCTCTGGTAATGCTTTGGTGATGGACAACGGAAATTGGTGCTTAGTCTAGTTGGTGCCCAAAAAGCGGAAAAAAGATGAGTTGCTAACAGAATGTACCAACTAAGAAAACCTGGGAATTGTACGCCACAGGACGCCTCAACGATTAATAACTGATGGAGCCAGTGAGTGACACTGCCAACTCAGAGTCGTCATGGCTCACCGTGTGAGTTACGGAAGGTTCGCGGTGTTCACACTGTCTTTGAGCCAAATGCACACCTGCTCAAACTGAATAATGCCGTTAGTATGAGCACAATCAACTAATTGGCAGATCAGGAGACACAATGGTAGCGTAGGGGCAAAACGTGATCGTTGGATGGTTTCATGATAACGGCCGACCTTGTAAAATAATGGCAAATAAAGGGTCTGTCACTGCCGAAAGATAACTAGAGTTGTGTAAAATGACGGAACAGTGAAGCTCGATGGCCCGCAGCGAACACTTGACATGAGAGTGTGCAAAGCTTAATAGTGAATAAAGTTCAAAGTTAGAGACTTGCTGGAAGATAGAAACGACATAAATGGACAAGAGAACAACGGTGCAATACAAGTGTGTAGCCTTAGGTCCCCATAGGCTACATACCTAGCGATAGACGTTGAACTTACGCAATCGGCCGTGATAGGTTCAGAATAGCCATCCGAAAAGAGTGATGTAGCAACTTGTGATTGAAATGTGTGAGTCAGTGTCTGGACAATTTGAGTGCAAACTTGCTGTGTGAGACGAAGGCGAACAGGACATGTGAACCAACTCTGGAGCTGTATAAGAGATTCCCACGATTCCGTCGTGGGAATCTGTGCGGGTGGGATCGCGACTGTCGAGGAAGCCACTTTTGCCATGAACTCAGTCACGTCCTTCTCGTGGGACAACTTCCATCTGGGGCAATCGATGGTGTCATCCAGAATAGATGTGAGCTGAGATTGTGGAGTGGGAAAATAAAATCTCTAGAGAGACACCAGGCACAACACAGAGGAAAGAGTAGATAGGTCGCCTGTGGAGTTGAGCATCAGAAAGCCGATCATGCAGTAAACAAATGTAGATTGGTTGGAGAGACTGGAAGCCGTGGAGTGAGCCGTGGTTGTGTGGTAATGATTGTAAACGCCTGTGGTCATTGTTGTATGACCGAAGTTCGCACTCGATCGTCCACATGTGAGGTTAAGGCAAATGCTCGGATGTGTGGGACAACATTGAAAGAGAACAAGCAACTGAACAAATCAGTGATGAAAGACAGCCAAGTGGTTCAGTTCACTAATCCACCTGAGTATGCTGCGTATTCAAGACGAATAGCATCACCAAGGAAACAAAAATGGCGATGGGTAAAATGGGGAACAACACAACGAATATAAAGCAAACAGCTCAGACTTGATCATGTAGGGTTCAGAAGATAACAAGGTATCTACCCAACCAAAGCCGTTTCTGCCAGTACGATCTCCATGGGAACGCAAATGGCTGTTGAGGGAGAAATGTACTGTGCTGGGTTCAGAGAAATTTTACATACCAGAACGAGGTACCATACTGCCACTGTGCACGTCCACCTGCTAGACATATTTGCAATACACTTGCGAATTCGGTATATACGCTATGAGCGTGTGGACCCTAACCGCATGCCCCTCCGATTACACGTTTCGGATTGAGGCCAAATACGCGTCATGTTTGCTGTAAAGTAAACTGCCCATAGGCACAAGTGCACTGTGGCGCGCAAACTGTGGGAGGAATGTCACCAAATGCTGATATTACCACGGTTAGTGTACCGAGTACCATAGAAAGAAGAGAAAAACCAGTGTATCACGCGGCTTACTTGCAGACGAAAGGATGTTGGTGACAGAACGCAATCAACTGCTTTGTGTTGCGGCGTAAGAGATGGGATAATGCGCAGCCAAGCTGGCGCTATACTCAATTTTGGTGGATGGAGCTTCACCAGTTTACCAAGGTCAGCAGAGTATAACGCCGCATCCTTCACATGTAACGTCAAAGACTGTTTGGGAGTCGAGAAATCAGTCGCGCAGATGGGGAGCGAGGAGAAGCGGTCTGCGTTGGTCACATGTACATAACCCATGGGAGCTAGCAGCACGTCATTGCACGAAACGGCACCGTTCGGGAGGAGGAATGTAGTGTGAAAGAGTGTGAAAGTTATCCGAGGCTGTAGCGAGAAGATGCAAGAGGGAAACCCTCCTACTTTAACTTTTGGCGCAGAAACGGTACTCAAGCTTTCTGCAGAAGGGAGCTGCTCCATCCAAGCTGATACCTTAGCGACTGTTGCGGGGCAATGGACGTAGGTAAAGTGGTCGCAAATGCCATGTATAGTAGTTGGGATCCACAAATGGCTTGCTGAGGGCTTCCAACACAGGTTGAGAGAGATGGCTGGTATTGGCGATGGTTTCAAAGCATCACACTCATGTGAACGCGACACTTGACCAGCGTGGAGTAGATAAGGATGCATGGTTGATTGCTGTGTGTTGGAGACACCAATGCCGTAGAGCTGAAGGCGAGTGCGGCGAGATAAAGCTGTACGAATAACAAAGAAAATATGTGAGAACAGATGCCCCAAATATTGGATTCAGGAATGCAGAAGAGCATAAATGCGCAACATGAAGCAGTCGCCCTGAGTCTCAATAAACCAAGTAGAATGAAAATGAAGTCAAAGTAAACGGCTTTTCCGGAGAAAAAATTCAAATAAGTGGGAAGTCACAATGGGAAGGGATGATTTAACGGTTATATGAACTCTGAGTGACGGCTAAATCGGGGAACTGTATAATGCGAACGGTTTTACTCGTAACAACTATTAAGCTCACGTTCGATGAAATCGTGTTAGATGTCCGCTGGTGACCAAGTACAATACAACTGGCTGAGTGCCCCAACACGTAAAATAGTCGAGTAAAGGGAAAAACAACAGGTATAGAAGAAGAGCATCATAGTAAGTATGATATTGCGTACGATACTTGGCATTTACAACCAGATGTGCTTGCGATCTTTGGGTCTTCAACCCGGAAGTCGAGAATGCCTTAGGCGTCTAGCTGCAACCCAAAGGCTGCACGTTTGAGCCCACGTAAATGCGGGTGATCTCGCAGTACCCTGCCAGCCGGAAAGCCAATGTCAGCGACCGCGTGGCAGTAATGATGATAAGAAGTGAAGTCATAATGTTGACAACTTTAATGGGACTAGGTAACTGGCTATAATTTCAAGAATCGAATCGCCCGGAAGAGATTGTAAGGCAGAAAGCAGCCCAAAACATACATTTTATTGGACAAGATCTGTCACTTGCAGTGAAAATAAACACTGGCAGTTTCAAGAGATCAAAGGTGAGGTTCGGCTGACGACGCCCGTATGCAAGACAAGTGAAAATGCTCCCAACGGGGGTCGCTGTGAACTATGTGTTTGTGAGTAGGCTTGATAAGGAAAGGTAAGAAAAGGTCAAGGTTGGGGACTGATTGGACAAGACCTGAGCGACAATATTCCTAACCAACAGTACGGAGTAACGGGTAGAGTGAAAGTAATCAGTGGATCATTTACCAAGAAAAGAGGAGTAATGTATTCTTTGGAAGGTAACCATGAGAATGCGCTCGGCGCGCTCGACTCCCTTGTCCTCATCGCCTTCAGCTAGTGTGTGTGAATTGTGAAGCACGCGAATGATAAGGACGTTGAGCTCACCAACGCACAGCTTAGTGCGTATTGCAGTATGATTGCCTGGGACATCGTGGATAGGGCTTGGAGCATCGTCCATCTCTCCCCCTGGGTTGGAGAACGCAGTGGCCAGCGCAGACATATGCGAGAGGCACTGCTGGATTTCTCGCAGCGTATGCAGATTAACTGAAGCAGAATTGCGGAAGACAAGAAGTACTGAGAATATTGACTAATGAACAGCCATGATGTCATAGGCACGGAGCCAAAATATGAGCAGACCACATGGTGTTTATAGCAACAAGTTTAAAAGCATATGTTACAAGCTACCACAGATGTAGAAGAGAAAGGGGATGGAGAGGAAGTTGTTCTAACACGCAGCATATCAACGCAACAGTAAAGGCTTACAGACAATATCCAAGCGGTCCAAGTGTAGGTGTACAGTTCGCATTCCAGAAACAGCGGTAACGGTATCAGAGAAAGTGCTCGCTGGATTCCAATCGAAGTACAGCTGCAAAACGTCCTTCCCCCGATGACCCGATTCTTGGGTAAAGATGGGAGAAAAGCGCATCTCAGGTAGCATTTGGTTCAGTACAGTTTACGAATGTTGACATGAAGACACCATTGCGATAGATTATACTGAGAGTACTCGCGCCGCCATTGACAAAAAACAGCGGTGGAACGCGAGAGAGACGTAACACAAAGGGAATGGTCTAAAAAGATACGGAAAGTACACCACCCAGATGCAAGCGACAAAATACAAAAACACATTTCAGTCTTCGACGCTGAGACGTCGGATATGGACTCGGACAACTGAGAAAGTAACCACTGATATTAGTATCCAAGAAAATGACAAGTAACCGATCAGGCCAGGGTTGTTACCGCACATTAGTTGGGATATTTACCAGCAAATACTGTAGAACTCAGGTGGTGATAGTCACAGCAAGTCGAAGAAAAGGTCAGCTTTGGAGAGTAAGTAACCAGTCGCCACAAAGGTAACCTAGAGCCGGGCAAAAGTAACACGAATGTGAAGAGACGTGGTAGCACACTTTGGACTCCTGGGATATGCATGTAATATCATTGAAATGAAAAAAAACAGTCGATGGAAGTGAATAAGATGTGCCCGAATTGTGAAAGAGTATATGCAAATAGCCCGTGCATCCGAAGGAACAGAGCCCGCGGACAAATGATTTCAGGATATATATAAGTATGGTAGTCCTGATAAATAGCGCTCACACGCCCGGAGAATGGATGGCACACATAGCTGCGAGTAAAACTTAATTGCAGTGAGATAAGTGTGACGAACTGCATGGTTTATCCGATGAAAAACGGTATCTCATCAAACAATGGAAATACGAGAGACCTACCAAAAGGCAGTTGGAAGACTGGTGAGGAGTGGCCTTCCGGAGGGTGCAAACAGAATATAAAGGTTGGATCTAAATGGCCCGGAGCGCCAGCAGAATTCACACGTGGTGAGCAGGGCACAGATTCGTTTGAGAGCACTTCCATTTGGCCATGTGAATTCAAACTGTTGGTTATGAAAGAAATGTAACCATAAAGTATCACCCTAACTCTGATGTGAGCATACAGACAATCCCGTTCATGATTAACAATCTGAAGAAGTTCTAGAATACGATACCTTTATTCTACCATGAATTCAAACTAAAGATTCGCGTGTAGACGAGAACAACTTCAAGGGTTGTAAGGATTTTAAAAATGCCTGCGACCCAGTCATGCAGTCTATAGATAATCGGAAAACATTGAGCAATCGTCCCAGCCAATATGGAACTAACGGTAGCGCGCACAACTCCATCTGGATTCGAAATCACAGTCAAACGGTTTCCAAGTTACCAACAGATGTCGATGTGTGATTGCACCAAGTCAACATATGTGATTAAACGCATCCAATCCTTCACCGCCAAACCTAGACAGCTTATAATGATTTGGTGGAGGAAGCCTTATTTCTTGGCTGTAACTTGCATGACAATGGAAGTTGTAACAGTAGTAATACGACAATCTAGGTCGTCATCGTGACTAGGGGCCCAGCGGTAGAAGTCGTAAAATTGCAAGTTGCGTGGCAGTGGTTTCAAATCCCGGATGTAAGGAACAAGAGGGCTGCCGTTAAGTCAAAATAGGTGGAATTGACCCAGTGCATCTCCGAGTGTTCGGCTACGGTATAATGAAGTATAGCTGTAACGATTTCAAGCAGAGTATCAGCGTTAATCATAAGCACATGTTTCCATGTAAGAACCCATGAGCGATTCGAGAACTACACTACTGGGCGCTGGGCGTCCAGATAGAGGCGACTCATAATTCCAGCTACCCTAATTATGCAGATCAGATAAGTAAGACGACAGGAAGAAGACTAACCGAAAGTTTCGGTGTGATGTCACAAGCATGTCGTAATCCCCTCCGAAATTCGCAGTGGCATCAGCTACAGAAAGGCCACGCAAAGTGAAACGACCTTGGTAACCGGCGCCACGACCAGCTAAGCGGATCCAGGTTGCTGTGGCACCTTCGATACGGCACTCGGCAGTGCTACAACCTGAAAGGCAACAAAAGCTAGTGGATCATTGGCCTGAATGATTGAGACACAAATTAAGACACAAATTTAAAAATGTACGACAAAAGCAATCTGGAAAAAGCACAACGTTCTTTTACCAAACGATTACTAGAGTATGGATCCTTGAATTATCAACATCGGTGTAAACTGCTGAAGCTAGAACCACTATGATTGAGAAGAATTAAGATTAATCTTATCTGCTAGTGTGATTTAGCGCATACCAGTTGTGGGGAGCTAGGTACTGTGTAGTTTGGCACTCTCCACCAATGTCCAACTAGAAATACATCAACCGGCTTTTGCGTCCCTAGAGTGCGTACACGGGTGCGCGCCAAATTCTTTCTCAGAAGGTACACAACCTTATGGAATAAGTTGCCGGTATCCATTCGAAGCAACAACACTAAGCATATATTTCGGGCACAAATATTCAACCAACTGGCTGTAGAGATATTAGGTATACTGGGTGAATCATACTCATTTAACCTGGTCCGAAAGTCAACTATGCGTCAAAGTGGCCCTTGTCATCTCGGATGGCCGGACTTCCAGGATATGCGACCGCCTCCACACTCTACCTTGGCCATTTGCACGAGATGCTCTTTTACCTGCATCCATATCCCGCCATGCGCCTGTTAAATCTCAGGCTCAGTGATGAGTGGACACGCAGGTCCTATTTTCTTACAGACCTGTTCTTCCACGATTAGACTAGTATTCGTACTTTATCCAGGCGTAATAAAAGTTAACATCGTTCAGAATAAGCACAGAGGTTATGGCTAGTGGTACACGCAAGCCGTACTGTATGTCGTAATAATCCGGAATATAGTGACCATAAAGCTTTACACTACAACTCATGACCATAAATATTACTGTGCTATGCCACACATTATAGATGTCGTTTGACAATTTGGAAATTAGGTTGCCATTATCTAGGTCACATTTCCTATCATAGCTGCGTCGCACTGAAATGTTGCCATCTACCAAACGATGCACCTTTTACCTCATTGTAGTTAGCGACAGAGTCTGTTGCTATTAGAATCTTCGTTTCATTCTGAAGTACTTTTCTCACAGGGTAAGGTTTCCGGCATGAGTCTGCATTTTCAAAGTTCCCAAAACTACTTGGGAAATTACAAGAAGAGTAAAACACAGTGTTGCAAAGAGATCTCTTTTCGGCAGTTCACATCAGGCAAATACAACTACAGGATTGAAAGGCATTAGTACTGATTGCGTTGTAAGCAATCCTGTATAAACCGAAGTTCCGTCTTTGCTTCAGCAAGTCTGGCATTAAATTAACCAAATTTTATATATTCCGTGCCAACTGATGTCTATATGCTTGGATAATTCTTTACCAGATATTTAAGCTTTATTTATTTTTACTGGTAATTATGTTACAGGAGAGTAGGAGGAGCCGAATGGTATAGGCAGAAATTCGTCACATCTAGACTCACTCAGACAGCCATCACATGCACGGAAAAGCACTGTACGCGCGTTTCATCCTTTCGCGAGTCGTCAGTAGTGCGCATTCCGTCGGACCCTGGTAGGGCTCGAACCCGCAATTCGACTGTTGCCAGTCCGTGGTTGAGAGCATTGAGCTTCGGAGGACGGCAACGACCAACGTAAATAAGTCATTAGATGTGATATAGCGCCGCTCACTATCCACTGACTTACACGTTACTGCCGTGCAGAGGAAAGGGTAGACCCTGTTCCTTACCTAGCTTGATACTATTGTTTGTATTATTTTCTCCCTGAGTCCATTACAAACCGGGACTTCTGAATGTGTTTTAATAGGTCGATGATGTTGGATTGCGCGTCAGCGGGAGTTTGGAAGAATGGGGCTCATCCACGAAAGTTCTATTTCCGCCTTTTGGTCAGACTGCGCTGGTCCAGATCGACGAGACATCCGTTAACGAAGGATATAACCCCAGCATAATTTTCTGCATTATACAACGTGCATGTGTGAAACTGACATGGATATAACATAATGCATATTCGCACCTAATATGTAGAGGCGACTAAATGAAAAAAAGCTTTAAATATTTTGACCATTCCCCATGTGGGAATAGTCTCTCGCATCGTCGAGGGATGAAAGATGTATTTATTTACTTCAAATTCAGGCGGAGAAATACGGTAGTCATACGTACCTTTATTTTCTAATTGCACAATCAGTTCCTTAATTTCGAGGACAGTAATGAGTCGCTTCCGCAGTCCCAAAATAGAAGTAGAGGGTTTCTGGGGTGAGTGAGTCCATTTAAGTTTACAACGCTTGAGGGAAGGAGGATTGATTCGGACAAAAGGACGTCTTGTCTGCCTGGACGAAGTGTGCGAGTGATCAGTCGGAATTCCTTTTTTGGGTAACTTGGGTGTCTGGTTGCTTGTGGATGGCGGTCTACTGGTTTGGAGGCATTTGAGTAAATTGGCCAGTTTGGAATCGGACAAGCGGAGAACACACCGTTCTACCTTCAGTGTGATCCACAAGGATGGAGGATAGCCTGCTGCTTGTGTGACGGATGGGTCTAGACGAGAAATCAAGTCATGAAGTGAAATCATGCGGCGACTTATGAGCATGTGCAAGTTGAGTCGATCGACCAAACAGGACTGGGCCATTAGTCTGGAAGTTGTGATGTGAATGACTGGCGGGCCGCCGCTGGAAGTGGAAGACTCTGAAAGTTGAAGTGAGAGTAGTCTGGCGAAATGACAGATATGTGATGGATGATGAGAGCGGTGATGTTGTTAATTGGTCACAAAGGATCCTACTTTGATCATCAGAGTGATGTTCGGACTCAACCGGATCAGTCCACAGACCCAGTTGCTTGAACACGTCCAACGTGCCGACCACGGCGTGTATATCATCCAGATAGAGCGCGTATGATTCATAAAACTCAGGAGAGGAAGGCGATGACACAACCCTGATGACAAAAAAAGTATTTGAAGCTTTAAGTTGAAAAGATGCAACCATGTCGCACAAGGACAGAGACAGCTTTCCACGTTTGGTCGCCCACAAACCAATTTATAGACGAAAGCATGTAAATATGGCTGACTAAGCCTGGACAATGTTTGATAAGTTAGATAATCGATCGAATCAACGCTACAAATCATAGTCGTAACAGGTGTTCGTATGTATGTCGTGACATATCTGGTGTGTAGTGTAGCACTAAGTCCAAGTTACTGCCTTGTAACTCGCTCCAGCTCAAATGAAAACCACCGCCACGTCAACAGACAGAGTGACGGTACTATTGCGTAAAGGAGTAAAATTTACTGTACGACAGCACGCCCCGAAGGCTAACGCGCACTGACATCTGCTCATTTCCCTCATAAATCACACAGTGCGAGAGTAAAATTCTACTGGACACACTGTCTGCATTCATGGAGAAACACAAAATGCGAATGAGGTGGGCAGTGAAGAGGAGCGCGGTGCAATGAGCAATGGGAACACTGACCAATGACCACAAAATAAGCTTTATGCACCGAAATAGGTGCAATATCGACATTTACACCATCAGTGCTGGTACACTGAATGAATGGGACCAGTTAAAAATGCATAAACAGAGATTGCGGAATTAAATAGTTAAAGGTATGTAGATGTCATTCAAGGAACTGCAGGCGCAAAGGGTCGACAAGAAAGCGCGACAAATAAGGCAAGATTGTGTTACGATACGAAAAAGTGCGAGAGAATAAAGTGCTAAATTTTGAGCGTGTGGGAGACAGACAATGTTTGTGAGAGAGCATTGTGCAGCAGATGAAAGCGGTCACTTAGGACCTTGGAAGAAAAATTCATGCAAGCGTCAAAATGCTTCCGAGCAATAAAATTAATTAAGAAATCCTAGGCAAGCCACCACATCTTGAAAAATATTTAATCGAGCGCACAATCAAAACATAGTCCTTTTGCAGCAGTCCAGGGAAGATTACTGGGGAACAGTACAACCAGTGGGGTAGTATACATGCAGGTAAAAATCTCAAAATTATGTTTGCGGCACGGAGAACTTCTTAAGTCGGAAAGCGTAAAAAATGATCTGAAAGGTCTCCAAAACATGCATGGACCGAGGGAGGTTTTGGGGAAAAATAGACTGAGATATTTGACACTGGGTGAAATAGGCATGGATTTGTCCTCCAAAGTTAACAGAAGGGAGGCATCTAGAATTACTCCATATTGATCAGGGCAGAGAAATGGAAATATTATATTAGTACATTTCCAAGCATTAAGGTTAAGGGACATGCTTGAGGACCAACACACAAGTTCGTCTAAACCATAATGAAGCGTAGACGTCTCAATGGAAAGAACTCTGCACCATAAGACAACATCGTCGGCATATTTATATCCAATGAAGATTGATGGCATGGGGAGTTTCGATATATAAAGAGAACAAAAGGGATACGAGGATCGGGCGGTGCAAAACACCAGTCAGCGAAGAGCATATAGGAGCTTTTCCAGTTTAACTGGGTAGTGTGTACAAGCATTGAAGTAGTCACACAACAAGTTGCAAACATCAGAGTGGACTCCGTTCAAATAAAATAAGTTGAGCAGAACTGATTAATCAAGATTCCCGATTATATTTTAACAGCCAAGAAAAGGAAGCCGTACGGACCTGCACTTTTTATCCAACGCAGAGTCGATGGAATGCACAAAGTACGAGATAGTACCTAGTGTAGAGCGCTGGGGTCTAAACGCAAGACAAAGAACTTTTGTACTCTCAAGGAGTGAGCCAATTATGCTACCGGTAAATTACACCAGTGACTGATGGACAAACACAGTGGAATACTGACAATAATGTCAAGCGATTAAGAGTGAACTGAGATCGTGTAAACCCACTCAGCAGAATCGCACGTTCCAATGACAGCATTCGGTGGGTCGGCCACTGGTTCCTCTTCGGCATCTGACTGTGAGGCTGGAGAACCGCATGGGGTTAGGAACACATCGTCTTCAACGTCGTGTTCGCGGCTATCCTGAAGCAAACAAACGTTTCATCAATTTGGCACAAGTAAATGTCCTTGTTGATGTGAAATCATCCAAAACAGATTTATCCATTAGGCAAACTATTGATTCCAATGTATTCTCCAAAGATATCTCTCAATAAAAAGTAGACACATCGTCATGCAATATTAATATCATTGTGAGGTCAACGGTCGAGTCGGAGCATATGATTGAATGTTGAGCACGTAGCCGTACGAATAACTAAAGCGCTCAATCTACCTGGCTCACAGAGAGACCCACCTTCGGGGTTAACTGCTCAGAACAAGTAATGTCTTCTAAGCAACTCTATCAACCCGATATTCAGCGAAGACGATTGCTAAGGAGCAACGTGAATGAGCCAAATACCTCTATTCAGCTACTGGGAAGCAGTCACCAACACAAGCTGTCTAGTCCGATTAGTGGGTGCAATACCGAGGTGTTTAGAAATTGCATCGAGAAGTGGCATGAATCACAGAAATGCCCAAAAGTCTTTCGATGGAGCGCAGTCAAGAACCCAGTCGCGTGATCCATTGCAGTCTCCTGCACGTCATTTTCCCGGAAACCGTTTACTTCCGATAGTCGTTTGTGACCTGGAGTGAAAATAGCTTGGGTATCCTTGAATGGGAATCAGATAGATATAGAGAAGATTTCACTCATATTCATCACCGAATCTGACGTTACAAGTGAGGCGAACTAGGAGAACAAAAACATGGAAACGCCAGTACGAAACGATAGGAATTGTATCGCAAAATAGCAGATTTATGTAGGCTAATAGCAAGAGTAAAGGCCAAAGAGGTGACAGAGAAAATTCAAGATATGGGAGTTGCAATCGAATATATTCAGTGGGGATGAGGTAGTTCGAATAATCAAACTGAGCAGGAGAAAAGTACCCTTGTCACATCCATGATGATTGTGAATCCGAAGCATTCACTAGTTTGGTTGGTCACCGAACAAGAAATAGACTGAGTCAAACAACATCAGTATACCTCAACAACTATGGCCCGGACAACAAAATACAGCAAAAAAAAGCTTTCACATCACGAGAGGATATGATGATGAAAATATGATAAATGAAAAGTAACAAAAACGACATAAAAGAAAATAAGCAAATACACGGAACAGGAAACCTAAATAGTCCGACTGAAGAAAGGGATCACATACAGCTGACCATGAATGATACCGGCTAAGTAACTACGTATGACAACATGATAAGCATCAAAAGTGATTTGGCGCACTATCTGAATACTGAATACTGCTTCGAAGCAGCGAGTAGAGCTTTCTCTGTGTAGCTGCATCATTCGTCGCTCTTGGACATACTCCTTATTTATCGTTCCGCTCTCTATATTTTGCCTCTGCAAAGTTTTTGTCTAGGAGCTTCTTAAATTCGGACAGTGAGTTCGCCTCTACTATGTGATGCGGCAGGTCGTTCCAGATATCCACCACTCTGCGTTCGAAACAGAGTTGGTGAGCGACCCGCTTATATATATATATATATATATATATATATATATATATATATATATATATATTTACCGAA